TGGCTCACGATAATGACCTTGCAGATGAGTCCGGTTTCTGGTCTTCCTCACCTGCTATATCCCCTGTGGTTCCTCTAAACCAGTAGTTCTCAAGTGGGGGGGTGATTTTGCCACCCCAGGGGACATTTGGCGATGTCTAGACAGATTTTTTATTGTCATGACTGGGTTGTTGGGAGGGGATGTTCTCCGATATCTAGTGGGAGCGGGCAGCGACGCTGCTGAAAGCCCTCCAATGCGTACGGCGGCCCCCGCAGCAAAGAATGCTCTTGTCCAGATTGTCAACAGTATCAAGGTTGAGTAACCCAATTCTTAACCCAGGGCAGCTTCTTTTCTGCTACCCGTTTTTCTCTCTGATGTTGTCTGGCTGATGGGGAAAGGACAAATATGGTTTTCGTATTTTAATCCTCTGTGCCAAGCCTTGGGCTCTGGGCACTGAGGATAAATAAGGGTTAGCAGAAGGCCCAGCTCCTTGCAAGATTCAGTGCCTTTCAGAGGTTTTGGTGAAAGTGGAAGAAAGACCTGATGAAGCAGGGAAAATCTGGCATGGTGGGATTCTAGAAAGATCTGAAGGGCAGGGAAAGAGTTCATATTTAAAGCTTGGTTGTTAAAAGGAAGGCAAAACTAGATAGGTTATGGGTCTTTTCTAAATATTTTTGGGGATTGGTTTTAAATACGTCTCTGGATAGTAGGTCAGTCTTTTTCTTTGCTCTTCCTATGAGCTCTCTCTTTCTACTGTATCCCCTTCCTAGCTCTCCCTTTGAATGTACTAAAGCCGACCAATCCTCCACTCTATCCAGGGATCGATAAACATATTAAGAATTTCCTTCTCTTTCCTCCCTTTCACCCCGCACAGAATTTGCATCCTCTCCTAGAAGGTGACATTTAAAACAACTTGACTTCTTTAAAGAGTTCAGAAGTTTTCAGTGTGGTGGCACCTGCAGTTTCTAGATTGCAACTGACACCGCTTTTTCCTCACCAGATTGCCTCTCGGTGTTGATTCCACGTCTGAAATCCTATCCATTTCCTCTGTAATCCTGAGTTCCTGGCATCCACATTCTGCCTTAAGTGTGAGTTCTGCCAGGGGCACAGCCTCCGTTCTTTCAGGAGAAGGGTGAGCCAGGAGGCGTTCCAAGGTGACCTTGCGTCTCCTGCAACCCCAGCTCAGTGCTCTGCCCTGTCCTTCATCCCATGCCTCACTTCTGCCCACAGGCCTGCGGCTTCTGCCAGCCTCTGGGTGTCCTAACCATCAGCTGCTTACGCCCACACATTTACCACAGTAGGGAAGTCACTCCAAGGATTTCTGAACCAATCCCTTGCCCTGAGTGATTTTAAGCCAACAGGTCTCTTGTCCTGTATTTTCCCTTGGAAACTTCCCTTCTTCAGCTTTTTTCTTTCTGACTTGTCGGTGCCTTTCTGATGGTGGCACACACGTCCCTTTCCGTCACTCCCATCTTGAACTCTGCTGTGTTCCGTGGCCCACTTTAAGCTGGTTCAGTCAAGTTTGAAACCTTTAACTTGCCTCTGAAGTTGGTCCCGTTCCTTCTCTGTTCCTTGTCAGGGTGCATTTTCACAGAACCTAGGTGTCTTTGATCCTTTTTCTTTCTTTCTCATAGTATCAGCCTCGATAACTAAATCAAAAATTGTTTTATGCTTATCTCATTTTCCTCTAAGTGTCTGATAATCTAGCAAAACCTGAGCAGTGGATTTCTTAACTGAAGCCTCCTACCTACTGATGGCTGTCTAGCTTTACTACAGCTTAAGAATAAACCTGATAAATCATAAAATCATAAAAGATATTTATTCCTCCTTCTTGGCCCTTAGATTTGCGGTATTTTCACTGAGGTTTCTTCTACCTCAGCCTGAGAAGGTGCATCTCACTCTTTAGTGGTTCTCACCTGGGCTGTATGTTAGTATCGCTAAGGGGCTCTTTAAAAATACTGTTGCTTAGGTCTCATCTCAGAATTCTGATTGAACTGGTCTGGAGTGAGGTTCAGGTATTAGTATTAGAAAATGAAAATCTCTCCGGGTTATTAAAACATGCCACCAGAGTTGAGAGCTTCTGCATCTTTGAAATCCTCAAGCCTTGAAGCTTATTAGTATGTTTATCTCACAGCCCTGGCTGAGGAACAGGACAAAGAGAACCTTGGAGAATCTAACATGATATGCTCCTGGCAAAGGCCTGTCCATTGAAACTCTGTGCATTCTGAGATTTGCTTGTTTATTCAACAGACAGTAGCTGCTTGTCTGTTAATGTGGCAGGTAGTGTACTAGGTGCTGGGAGAACAATTTGACAGGGGCCTCATCCTTGCAGAGCTGATAGTTGATGATTCAGTTCTGACCTAGAAATGAATTCCTGTCTTGTGAGATGTCATTCATGGCTCAGAGAAAGGACGGACCAGGACCTACCAACCAAACTAGGTGATGAAGAAATACTAACAGCACTGGTAGCCCCAAACCCCTGTGCCTTTTCTCTTAGTGAGCTTAGCTGGGCCATGAACCTAGAACCTAGAACTCTGTTTGGCTCTCTGTGAAGGGGGAAATAAAGTCCAAGACTAAAGGTGACCCTGGGTGACCTGCTCTTGACCACTTTCTTCTGGGCCCACATCTTGATCTTAACCTTATCACTAACTGAAGGAAGAAGTAAGAAGTTTGTTGAAGACATTCAGTTAAGGAAGATGAGAGCCTGCCACCTTCCCTGAAGCCTGGAGCAGTGGGGCTGCAGAGCCCGCTCCTTGTGGTCCTTTCCCTGGGCCCCTTGGTCTGCTAAGTCGTGGGAGCACATCCCCAGCAGGAGGTAAACTCTAACCCCAGCAGCTGCAGGAAGCAGGGAAAG